TTTTATGATGCTTACTGACTGCTACTTATTTATATTATTAACAAAATAACATATGACAGGATCAAGTTACTCTCAATTTGTATATTATTTGAAGTCATCATCTTGATGGTGTTGTTTATAAACACATTAAATTTCTGGAGTACAAAAAAAAAGTTTCTATAAAAAGATGAAGAATGGAAACACAATAAAAAAGAAAAAAATAACAAAAAATAAAGCAAGGAAACCCACCCTAATTCGTTTCAAATCCTTGAATTCATATATTTAGATAATGTTTTCTCATCACGAATTTTCCGGGATATTTTTTCCTTTTCTCTTTTTATTTTGCTGCTTTCTTTTTCAAAAAAGTTCATTTTTCGGAAGTATTGTGAAGGAAAAGAAAGTAGCATATATATTCATACATTTTCTCCCAATATTATTATTGTTATACTCTGAACTGAGACTCGATTTGGAGTATTCGGCAATTTCGTATTTTTGAATTAAGGATGTTAATTGGGATTTTTTATAGTGGTTTTTTAAAACTTTAATCAAATGAAGAGTATATTTTGTTATAGGTTTTAGATTAATATAGTTTCGGATAGGTTTCAGATTTATAGTTTTCCTGTAATTTTGATGTGATTACTAAATAAGAAACTCAAACATTTCAGTTGATAGTTAAAGTTTCGGCAGAACAAATATCGCAAAATTCTCTTAATAAATAGGTTTTGATGAATCCAATCATATTAAAAGAACGTTGTAGTGTACTTTAAACAGCATACTAATTGGAAATTTAAGTGACTTTCATGAAATGCAAAATTGTCACATACGGAAAATTAGTTTCCGCTCCCTGATGATAATATGTGTAAGTATTTATGTGTGTTTCTACATGTGTTATTTATTTGGTTGTTTTTGTTCCAAAGATTTATAAAAAGTTTTTCCTTTCTCCAAATTTATTTTTTTTTATTTATTTATAATTTTTTTTGTTTGGTTGTTTTATGAAAAGACGCAGATTACGAAACATTGTTTAATGTAATCCGATTATTCGTTGAATGTGTTTTTTTTTTCTTTGTTAAATCCCTGTTTTGATTTGTTTTTTTTTTTGTTTTGTAATCCTTGTTAAAGTTCAATCCTTCAAAATAAGAGCATTCAATTGATTTCGAATTAATAATTTTTTTTTTCTGTTTATTTTTACCATAAGGAAAATTGGGAATATCATTTATGTCCCTTTTCCTTGTTCTTTTTGTTGAGCGTTTTTGTTTTTGTTTTAAGAGAATTTAATAACAATTTTTGTTAGATTTCGTTTTTAATATAAATTTTGTGTGTATATTATAATATGATTAAATATTATGATTTTAATATTAGAAAATTTGCGTGTCGATGCTAATCATTGTATATAAATTTAATGTTGTAATACATATAAGGCGATAAATATTCGAGGATAAAGAAAAATACACAGATATTCAATTAGAATACCATTGTGTATTAAAGATTAAATGCTAAAGCTGAATACTGTATTAAAGATTAAATACAATTTTCAAAATTAATCCAAATCGTACCTCGTAATCCGAAATTCGTCTGAATTGTGAATTGTTAATAGTTTAATAAGCTAGGAATTTGAAATTTTTGTCTAATTGGATTTGACTATACGTTTTTTGATATAGGTAATTTTCTATAATATTTGTAATTTATATCTCATTTCCTTTATTTACTTGCAAAGCTTCTGTTGATTTCGAAATAGTGCTAAAAAGTATCAATTTTAGAATTTTTATTGATCTAATACTATTGTCTGATAGTTGCTTTTGCATTTTTCAGGGATTTGACCTGTTCGTGATGGTTTGCAAATGAAATTTTGCAGAGATATTGTACAAATTCTGGAAAATATTATTTTAAATAGTACAAAAGAATATTATTCTGTTATTATATTTTTATGTTATTCAAATAGGGGTTAGAAAACAACTCCATTTGCCTCTTATCATGGTAACCAAGTGCAATAATCTTTAAATATGACAACATAATTTAAAAATTAAATTCACTTAAATAAAAAACAACAATCTTGTACAAAAATTTACTTTCAATTTTATTAATTAATCATCAGTTTTTAATGTTAATTTTAATTTGCTTAATAATTTTACACTACACTCTTAATTTTCTGTTTTTTTTTTTGTTTTTGTTTATTTGTTTTAGTTTACATACAATAATTCAATGTTTTTTTTTGTTTTACTTTTGTTTTTGAATTTATTTAATTTTAATTTTTCTTTTCAATCAAAATTTTTCTTCAATATCTTTTATAACTTCAACAAAATTATTTCGATTATGTTTCAATTTTGAAAAGTATAAAATTAAAATCAATGTAAAATTTATTAAATTTTTCACTAATAAGATTAACTTTGAATCAAATTTTATAAATTATCTACATAGTGTTGTATATATGTATGTATGTATGCGTATGTTAATTATAAAATTTGATTCATTCGATCATTTACTTGAGAATTCAATTTTAATATGAAAGAAATTTAAATTAAAATAAAAATCGGTCGTTATGTAAAAATGTTCATTTTGTTATTGAAATTTTTTTGATTTTAGAGAGGTTTTTCTCTTTGCAATAAAAAAATTAACTGAAACTGTTATACACTTTAGTTGATTTAGTGTGGAAAAAAAGAAATTATATATAATAATTTAACTTTATGAACTTAAAATTTATGTTTAAAAACATTATTTATCCAACAGATTGATATTGACATAAAAATTTATTAGAAAGAATTTTTTTATTAAATTGCATATATATAGGGGAAATTTAATATGTTTTTATTTTTATGAAAATTATTGAGTAAATATGAAAAATCAGTTTTAAAAATAAATTCTATTTTTAATATTAATTTAATTTTTCCGTGCAGAATATCCATTAATACTATTTAAATCATTTGAAATCCTGAAGAAAACACGAATACTGGATAAAACCAAATGGAAATCTGACAGTCATTTATGTATCTATGCTAGCATTTTTTAACCTTCACAAACGTCAAAAAATAAGTTTTGGTAAGATATCAGAGAATTTTCGAAATTCAAATTATTCGAAAATGGTACGTCATTTTGTAATATCTATTATTTTTTTTATGGTGGAAAGTGAAAGAAACTAAAAATATGAACTGAAACAATATTAAAATCAATTTTTATTCGATAGTATCGCAATAAGCATGACTTGAAATTGAAAAGTTGAAGGAAGAAATTCGTGCCATAAAAGTGTAAAATAAAATTCCTTATGTCTTATTTCTATTTTATAATTTTCAAGCAAATAATGAATTCATTTACATTGATTTTTATTATTGTACTTTTTGATATTTTTAAAACTTGATTTTCAAAAATTCAATTTTTAATATTAAAATTATTCTTGTTTGTTTGTTTCTTAATTAAATCTTGACAAAAAAATTGTATTTTTTTTTTGTATTTAAAATTTTCACTTAATTTTCTTTTTTTTTGTTTTTGGTAAACATTTTTCTTTGTATTTTTTTATCATTTTATTACATAAAATATATTTTTTGATCTGTATTCTGAATTGTATTTCTGTTTATTGAATATTATTAAACATTTTAAAAAATTCTTTTAAAATAAAATGTTTGATAATAATTTTGGATATTTTCGATTAGAAACTGTAAAATTATCGCCCATCCGATAAAAATATTTTGTGTCAATACGCAGTAGTTTCGAAATTTTTGTAACATTTAAGAATTATTGTGTTCGTTATTGAACAAATAATTGGAATTTTAATGCAAGTTTAAAATTCCTGGTTGCTGGTTTATTTAAATGCTAATTAAATTTAAAATTTTCCGTTCAAAAATGTGGCAATGAGGAAAGCGTTCGAATTGAAATATTGCGGCAATGTGAATTTTTTTTTAGTTTAGTAAAAAACAATTGAATAAATATTTGGTGCTGATGTCATCTAATAAACCTCATTTTACAAAAGTTTACATCCTTCTTCACAAGGAATGATTAAAATTTGTGCTTTTTGGAAAAAAAAAAATTAAATTGATTTTTTCTCTGAAAATTTTAATTTCACACTGTAAAATTTTAAAAATTTTTTAAACAGAATTGATATGCTTATTCTAGTGTCAATTTTCTGACACAGTCATAATTTTTCATTGAATTTTGACTGAATAAATGAAAATTTTTATGTTTTTGAGTTTATGACAATTTTTTTTTTGCGAATGAGCGGTAAATTTAAATTATAAAATTTTTGTGGTTTTGAATTATATTTCAAGAAAGGAAACTAAGGATTAAATCAAAATTAAATTTATTTTTTGATCATTTTTTGGGTAATTAAAATCCTTACAATTTTTTTAATCTTTTCTTAATCTCTTGGAACAGCTCTAAATTGGTAAATTTAGAAAAAAAATACCAAAGCATTTTTATTTGAATTTTTTGTATTTTTTATTTACAGTTTGGTAACACCGCTTCCCAAAATTTTAATTCCCCATAATATTGAATGAAATTATTTTTAACCTGTTCATTTTTAGCTGTCATTCTTTTCATTTTACATACATACATATGTATATTGTCAAATAGTCCTTATTTTAACAAATTTATTTTGTTTTTTTTTTCATATTTTTTTCAATAATTTTAAACTTTAGTAATTTTTTTTTCTTTTGTTTTTTAATTGCTATTTATTTTATTACTAAATATCAAGTTATTATTTTTGTTTTTTCTTCCTCATTTAATATTAAACTAATTATATAATTTTTTATATATGCATATATATATTTGTATATGTATATGTATTTTTAATATTCACAATATTGTTTTTGTTTATCAAGTGGTTTTTTTTAAATCAATAAAATTTATGAAATTATACAAGAAAATTATGAGCAAAATTAAAAATTGAAAAGTATTCAAAAAAATTGTGTTTGAATTTGAATTGAAAGCAATTAAAAAGTGTGACTATAAATATCAGTCATTTGGGGATTTGAGTCTTGAAGTTCGCTCTGTAAACCTTATGTTTCCAAATAGAAATTTTATTTTTGATATCCGTAAAATTAAGAATTTAACTCATATTTCACGGGGTCTTCTTTTTAATAACACTCTATTGTTATAGAGTTGAAAGTGAGAAATACTGCCTTCATTTGTCGCAATAATGTTAATGAAGAGCGACTGAAACTTGTTACAATCTAATTATTTGAATAAGATCTTTGGATATAGAACGTTGAAAATATGATAACTTGATAATTTCCAAAGAAATTACAGAAATATTGAAAAATGTAACAGAATATAAATTTTACATTCAGCATGTCCTATAAAACAAAATGTTGAAGTAGTGTAAGAATTAGATTCGGAATTAATTACAATTTGTGGGTTATATACATAGCGATATAGCTTTATTATATTAAATAAAAATTAGTAGGTTAATGAACAAAAAAAATTTAAAATTGTTATAAGTATTTTTTTTTTTTTAATTTTTTTTAAATTTTAATTATATTTTTTTTTTCTTAATTTTTAATACAAAAAATAACTGAGAGCTTGATTGTGTTAAAATATTTCAAACATCATTATTACTTTGTCTTTAAATATTTAATTTTCTTAAAACCTATTTACTTCATTAAAGTTCATGTATTCGACCTGTAAATGAAATCAAAAAATTTTTGAAATATAATATTTGAATCATTTCCATTTATTTAATTAAATTACCAATCAAATTGTGTTAAAGGCGATGAATGACATCCTCTGGCTGTACCACACCATTTTGATTCCTGTAATGGTGGACATTTTCTACCACCACGTTTACCATGCTTTATTATTCTTCTATGCCGATGCATTTCACCAATACCACATGTTTTACTACATGCACTCCACACACTCCAATGTGATACACGGCAATCTTTTGATTTAAAACGTTTTTTATATGATTTATGATTTAATACGGATTTTGATATTGATTTAGAGTATTCATATGGTTCATAATCATAATTTTTAACAATATTTTTAATAAGAGCATTTTTATCATCTTTTGCAATAATATTTGGTGAAGATGATATTGAAGATTGTGATGAATATGTTTGATAATCAAATATACTATTATTTAATCTGAAAATATAATAAAAGTTTCTTCAGTTGAAGTTTTCTGAAAATATTGTTGAAAATTTTTTAATGAGAAAATATTACAAAATATTAGAATTCAGTCAATCAATTGCAAATTTTTTATATAACGCTTTTTTCAGCTTTATAAAATAATCTTAATTCCTTTATATTTCTTCTACAGATCAAGATAAGATAATTTTTCACAAATAATCTTATTTCATCTATACAATTTCTGAAATTTATTTAGTAGACTAGATTCGATACCGATTTTTTCTAGAAATAAAAATTCAAAAAATTGCATGCATTTAGGCGTAGATATCAATCGGTTAATTATTATAAATAATTGAAAGTTTAATTTAAGCAATAATTTTCTGAGAATATTATTTGAAAAAAAAAAAAACTCATTATCAAATAACAATCGAAACCTGATCGAAACAATATATTTTTGTCTGTAATATAGGGCGGAACTGTCTAAGTCAACTCTAAGTATATAAAATCGGCATATAATAATATATAAAATCTCTGCATTAAAATCTAGAATTGAACAAAATCTAGTTAAATTCAGAAATTTGGAAAATGGTTGAATCAAAGGTAAAAAAACTGACTCTCGTCTCGTTATAACTAGAGAAAACTAGAGAATTCTGGTTTGAAAGGGAGTAAAAAGTGATTAGGCTGTTGTTTGTAAATTTTGATTTAATTTAATTTTAGGGCAGAATCTTTATTCTAAGACATAATCAAACTTAAATGAAATTAAATAATTTAATTTTCTCAAAAATTCTCTTAAATCTTTTAATATGATTTACTCTAAACTTCTAATTGGAAATTAAGCAAGTTTATTGTAAAAAATTATTATTAAATAGTTACGAAATTTACTTGTATATTACTTTTTAATAATCGCCTTCCTAATAGCCTTAAATGCAAGCAATTTAACGAACTAAATTAGAAAGAAAACCATTAGTATCATTAATTTCGTGTACATTTAAAAAAAATCTCTAATAATAGTGTGAAATAGAATTTGTTTAGAATTTAAAAAATTTAAAATATTTATATACACTTGAATTAATAAAGGTGCCATTATTCACATAAAAATCTATATATAAAACAAAAGACCTCGTGCCACATTTATCATTTACGCGAATAAACCAATATACATACCACATACGTACATATATTATTGTGTTGACTTACGCTTGATTTGCAAATTAGTGAGGAAAAAACACTTTTATTATCTACTCGTAAAAACAATAAAATGCGAAAGTTTACGGTACTCAGGAACTTTATCAAGTGTTTTCATTAAAATGGTAAATCAAACTGTATGCATGTAGAAGAATAAAAACAAAACATAATAAAAAAACAAATCAATATAAAAAAATCAGGACTTTTTACTCAATTCATTTTTTTTTTCATTGCTTTCCTCTGGTCGAAATTGTTCTTCTCGGAAATTTATTTTTATTTTTTTTTTATCATGTTTATTTGCTTTCTTGATGATATTTGTGAGTTTTTATGGGTCAATTTATTACAAGAACTTTTAATATAACAGCAAAAAAAAGTACAATATAAAAGTATAAAAACCTTTAATTGGGAAATTCAATGAGTAATAAAAGATCCGTAAGTAAATGCTTCTGTGTTTGAATGTATGGAGACCAAAACAAAATAGAAAAACAAACTATATAGAACCAATAATAAAAAGTCAATACAAAAAATAAAACTAAAAAAAAAAAATATTTGATTTTCCAAAATAGAAAAATACTTTAGATTCAACAAAAATAAAATTCCATAGTTTTAGTTTTTCTTCCTTTTTCTTTTTTGTGATTTTCCTTAATTTAATTCATGTAAGATTTTTTTTTATTTGTTCTGTTTTTAACGGTATGTGTATATAGTTTCTCTTGTTCTGAAGTAAATATGAGATGTGGAATTTATTTTTCCATTCAATTTTCAATTCATTTTTTTTCTTTACTACTTCTTTGTTTTACAAAAATATTTTCTATATTTATAGGAAAAAAAAAATGATATACAAAAAGGGAAAAAAATAACAAGAAAATAACAATTAAAATGTAAAAATAAAATGTTATCGTTGCAAGGATGAATAGTTTATGGTAATTTTAACCTACATCCATGTTCAAAAATTTATCAGGTACATTGGGGAGAAAAATCGTTGTAAAAGTTTAAAAACTCTTGATGCAGAACCAATATAAAACTTTTTTTTTTTTAATTCTTAAAATTTATTTCTTTTACAATTCACTATAAAATAGTTTGTATAAAGATTTTGTATAAAAAAAAGTTTTTTTTTTCGCAGTTCTGAGATTTTAAAATAAAAAGGATATAAAATATCCTGAAAATTTAAAAAAAAAAACCTAGAATTCAATAAAAGTTCAATTTTATCCTTAATAGAATGTAAATTTGGAAAATTTAAAATCAAGGATTCAATAAAAAATTATTTTTTATAATTGTATGAACAATTTTCCAATATTGTTAAAGACTTGATATTTATTGTTTATTAATATTCTGGGTATTATGAAAAAGTTGATAACCAAAGGGATTGAAATGACAATTAGTTTACATTTTACAAGGATTTTAAATTTACAAGGATTCACTAGGAACAGTGATTTGAACAATATTGTATAAAAAATTTTAAAATAATAAAATTATTTAATATCAGCTGGCTAGACTAGTTATTACTACTGAAGTACATAGGAACGAGTTTTTGAACATTATTTTCACAGACATTCTAAGGTAGACAAAATTTTCTTGGAAATGCAGTGAAATTTTGGTATCATTATATAACACTTGTTTTATTGCTATCATTCTGAAGTTTTTTAAAATTTTGTGTTATCTGAGTCAAATGAGATATGAAGAAAGCACAAGCTCTACAAATTTAAGAATTCGCTTGATTTTAAATTTAGAGTTTTATTGAGTACATTTGAAACTTTTTATTATACAGTTTATGATTTTACACTCAAGCTCCGTCACTCAATCTTCAGTTAAAATAAAAAATTCAGTTAATAAAGTTTTGTGACCTAATCCCCATCGTAAAATTTTATAAAAACTGCTTACGAACGAAATTCTTTTAAAAAAGAAGTCGCTCTACAGTTTTAAAGCACAGAGAAATACATTTATGTTGTATTGAAATTTCGACATGTGAAATTTGGTGTGAAAACAATACCTGCTTTATTATAAACATATATGTACTAAGAAGGGGCAAAAAATAAAATAAGAAAAAAAAATGCTTTTAAATTTAGATATAATGATTCTTGATAGTTTGCGTGACAATTGAATGTTAAGTTTTCTTGGGAAACATAAAATGTTATTATTACTTGCACACGACACACACGACTAGTATATAGAAAAGGAAAATGTCTATCAAGTTTATAGTATTTTCATGATTTTAATCTTACATTGAATGAAAAATAAGGGTGATTATTTTTGCAAATCTTTGCTATAAAATACTGAAAAAAAAAATTGTTTTTATAATAAACGGCTTATAGATTTATTTTGCATTTCCAAACTACATCAAGAACGTAAATGATAAATTCTAGTTGTGTAAGTAGAAAAATGGCTAAGATTTTTTATTCAAAATTGGTAAATGACAATATTAATTTCCATGGTAAATGAATAGCACCAATTTTAGAGCTGCTTTTCGATTTTTCCTGTTAATTCACAAAATATATGCATAAAAGTAGAACTCACATTAAATATAAATAAAATATTCAGCGAATGCTACAACACTATAGTAAAACTTCCCTATACATTCAAAGTGTAGCAATGCTATCTTACTATATGGTACGGCTTATTACTACATGGAATGCTACACTGTAAAAAAATTAGAGTAAATTCTTATTAAAAAATGCTTTAATGAATCAAAAGAAGGAATTCAAATACATATGTCAGTCTTAAAATTAAAATTTCCAATGCATTTAACATTGTATTGTATTATTATTTTTGTTGCTTTAATTAAACTTAATTTAATTTTGTTAAACTTCAATTTCATACACAGACAGCGAAGGAGATATCTTAAAGAGATATTTTTATTGAAATGGCCAAAGTAAATTCGTTTGACTTTGCGGAATCTGATGTTTGTGAATAAATATGTGATAAATTATTACTAAATTTTTGTATATTTATAACCTCAAATATTATATATTGGTTGTTGAAGTATTCTTAAAATTTCTCTCGTTGAAATATTTAATAGCACCACATTTTTTACTATTTAAAATTACAACTTAAACTTATTATTGATTTTTTAATTGTAAAGATTCTATAAAATCTCTTCAACTGTTTACGCATATTATAAATAATTCTGTGATGAGGAAATTGTATTATAAATTTCATTGATTGCCGCTATTGTGAAACCCTTATTTTTAAATTCTTTATGTCATATAGACATAATAACAGTATAAAAATAACCAATAAAAGTAAACATTGTTAATAAAAAGAAAAAAAAAAGACAAAAATCAACGGAAATAAAATACTTACGATGGGTTCATTTTCTCTAATAGTTTTGCACGTACTCTTTCTTTTTCAGTATTAGCAATTGGTATAACAGTTACTTCACTTTGTCGTTCCTTTTCAATGCTCGCCGATAATTCATTATTCATTTCCACGTGATTATGTTCAACTTCTAGATGGGTTCGTGTTTTAACTAATTCGTATTTACGCTCATCCTCTTCAAAATTGAACACTTCACTTAGTTCATATTCTTTTAACTATAAGAGAGAAAAAAAAAAATTGTTTTTGTTTTTATTTACGATTTTATTGTTGTTTTATTTTTATTTATATAAATAGTAGCTGTATTGTTTATTTGTGTTTTTTTTTATTAGAGTTTGTTTTCCTTGCTTGTTAAAAATCCCGTTGCAGAATAATGTAGAAGAAGGAGGAAGAAATTTGTATTTTTTTTTTTTGGAAGAAAGTTTAAGAATAAATTCAAAGGATGAAAATCTATAAATATACTCTAAATGGAAATAGTATGAGCTTTTGGAATCGGGTAAGGAAAAGAATAATTTCAAATACGGTAGAAAATTTCAAAAATTTAAAAAATTTTACAGATGACATAAGAATTGTTAACCTGATTATTCTATCAATAGTTTAATTATGAGTTAGTTTAATTTGGAGTCTTTCTGCGTTTCTGATATATCAATTAATAGCCAAGAATTAAAAGCACGAAACCCCGTCATTATAGCTCTTTACCCTTCCATAACAAAGTTATTTAAAAAAAAAAATAATTCTCTTATGGTTATTTTATAACATTTATGAAGAAGATCTTCAAAATAAATTATGAATAAAATTTATTATACAAAATCAATAAATGTAATTTTTTACCCATAATTTAGCGATTAGGATAGCGAATTTTTGGAGAAGTACTAGTAAAATAAACATAAACAAACAAAACAGAAATTTGCAACATAAATTCAATTGCAGTTTGTTTCCATAAGTGTTTCAAATAATGTTCCGATGCCAGTAAAATCAAAAAATTATTTCTAATTTAAAGCACTTAGTAAAATTTTAACATTATTAAATTGCTAATAAATATTGATAATTTATAATTAAATTACACGTGTGTTATTTGCTTACAACCCATTTTCATTTTATATACAAATCAGGTGCTCAAGGCAAAAAAAAAAAAGATATTTTCTAAAGGGCATTGACTAACATTCACTGAGGTCTTGTAATTAACATTGAAAATTAAATGAAATTTCCAACTATAAATTTTAAATTAGTATGGAAGAGAAATAATAATGACAATGATTCTGACATCGCTTAAAGCGGAAACGAATTGAATGTCTCTGCTAACCATTATACACTCCAAAGGAAATGTGAAATTTTTTTTTTAATTTTCATTTTTATTTCTTTGTCTTTAGTAATCCTAAGGAGAAAATCACATTTCTTATTCCCTTTATTCAAAGTCTTTGTTTTTTATTTAAAAAAAAAATGATTCACAGAGATTTTATTGGATTAAATATAAAAATTTATACACTTATAGATTATAGGAATCGATTTTTGAGATTCGGTTTGAAGTTTCATTTTTCTTTTATATTTTCCATCATAAAAGAAATTTAAAAATTTTTAGTTTTTCAAGGGACTTTTTTTTTCCTATTCTTTGTTGTTTTTTTCCATTTTTACCTCTTGTCTTTGAATATATATGAAATTTGTCTGAATTATCATTATTTTTACTAAGTATACCCAATGGCATTCAAAAAACTCTATGTAGAAATAAAAGTATCGCATAACAAACAAATGATAGGTCCTTATTAAAGCATTAAATTAGAAAAGGAAAGTAATATAAAGAAGTGGCAAGTGCACACTTGTATATGTAGATAAAAGAAAAAATAAGATGTGGTCAGAATATAACTGAATGTGTTGTGAACTTTTAGAATGATATTTGCAAAATCGAATGGTAAACAAAAGTCTAGCGAAATAGTTACAAAAAGAAGCGTAAGAGTAATTAGAGACAAATTCCGGTAATTTTCGCTTTAAATATGTCAGAAATGTGAAATCGGTATCAAATGGGTACCCACTGTACCAAAAATTTTTCATAAAATCGATTCAATCGAACTTGAAATGTAATGGCGTGCATATTCACATATAGGCAGACATAATTAAGAAATCAACGTAATTTGCTCTAGTTTTTCTCAAAATCTAAAATAGGTAATTGATTTGATATGGCAAACTTTACAATAATGCCGAATTTAATACGATTAGAATACCTCTCTAATTTAATGTAGCACATTCTGTAAAAATATTGGACATAGAAATTACTATGGTAAAGAAAATTCATTTGTGAAATTTCAAAATTTTTTCAAAAAAATTTTAAAGAGAAAACTCTTAAAGTATATCTTAAAAAGAAAGAGAAAGAAAAAAAGCATAGTGTTAGAGTAAAAGAGATAACAAAACGAAGAATTTAATATCTGAAACAAATTTATTGAAAACGTATGTCTAATAATGATATTGAAAAGTTGATTTTTTAAAATAGAAAGAAAACTTTCAGGCACAAGGTAGATGTACGAAAATTTTCTAAAAATAACAAAAAAAAAAAACAGTAATAAAATAAGCGAACACTCCTCAAGTTTAGTACTTGAGAAGTTCATGTCATCATTATAATCAGAAAGCCGTTTTAAATTACATCATTACTAGAAGATATTCCGCCTCCAGTATCGTTTTCTGCCCCCTCATTCTTCAAACGGAAAACATTTTTTTTTTACGTTGGCTACGCAGGAACCTTTTTTTTTATGTTGTTAAATTTTTGTTTGTCTTCATTTTAACAATTGAAAAGGATGGTAAAATATTCATGTACTTGAGTTTTTTTTTTACGTTGAAGTTGGAAAAGTATTTTAAAGTTAAGTGGATTGGGTATAGTTGTATAAGAATAACAAGAGTCTACATCAACAAAGAGGCAGTTAAAAATCATTGAAAAATATTCTCAAACCGAAAAGGAAGATATTTTTTTTTTTTTTGGTGTATAGTAGTTTGTGTAGCAGGTATAAAGTAAATTGTTTTTTGCTGGAAAATTTTATTTTATGCATTTGTTGTAATTGTATCAGGGTTTCGTTTTTTCCTCTTGAATGAGGTCTATAATTTGAGATTTATAACTTTAATTAAATCAATTTCAACAAAAAAAGAAAAGAAGAAAAGAAAAACAAAAGTTTGATAAGAAAAGCGAAAAACCAACTTGCCAACTGTGATACCAAGGCAAAGTTAAAATACAAAAAAAAATCCCCAATTCAATTTTTAATTCTTGCAATGTTCTTTCTTACATTTTTATTTCTTTTTTATGTTTTTGCTTTGTTTTTTCGAGGACAAAATGGGAAATTTGAAGAAGATGAAAAAGAATGAAATATTTCTTAATTCAATAAGATGAAAAAGAATGAAATTTGATGATTTTTTTTCTTGATTTTGGGTATTTTTTATTTCGCAGTTATAAAATTACAACTTACTTTAATATGTCATCAACCATCATCATCATAATCACTACTATCATCATCATTATAATTCATTAATATTATAGGATAAAAATTCTTGTTTTTTTGAAGATGGAAAAAAAAAATTTTTAAAGTTAAATTCTAGAAAAAAATATTTTTGGTTTGTTTAGGTTTCCAAAAATAGGTTGCTAAGAAAAAAATTTAATTGCATCATTCTTAAGAAGATTTAAGCAATTAAAAATTAAATATAATTTAAGATTTAATAATGTCTTACCATATGCCATTTAGTTACCCAGTATTATTTTGAAAGAGGAGAAAAATACAAACTCGAAGAACGAAATGCGTATAGGGTAAAATTGAAATAAAAAAATTTTTTTTTTGTTGGAAAATATTTTACAAATTCTTGAAATATTTTGGATTCTTATTGTTTTTATAGTTGAGATTGCGTTACCATAACATATTTGCTATCGAATTACCATTTTTAATAAGATTTTATTTTGTATAGGAAAATTTTTCTGACCCATATACGTACAAAGGATTGCTATACTTTCTTTCGTATATATTTTATTGGGAATTTAAAAATCTCTTTAAAGAAATGAAGAGATTTGATTTTTAATTTCGAAGAAAATATTTTCCAACTTAATTCTATTATTAAAATATTTTGATGCCTATGTCTTATATAACACTATTCTTTCAGTCGTCTGTTAAATAATACAGATGGCATTAGTCTATACGTTAAATTTATTTGTTTGTGAGTTTTTTTTTCTTAATGACGAAAAATATTTTTAGGAGATTTTAACTAACCTTTATCTAATATCTCAAAAATTCAAATTTCTATTAAATTGATAAGATTTTGAAAAATATTTCCATTTATTTTAAACTAAATTTCACAATGTTTTTATTTTTAAGTTGAAAATTATTCATGCAAAATAAAAGATATTCACTTTTGATTCAAAAAATCTTGTAATTAAAAATTGTAATTAAAAAGATAAAAATTAGAAAAATTTGTGCAGTTTTGAATATTTTGTTAAGGATCTGACCATCAATATCACTCATATGTTATATTCCGAGTTGTAAGTTAGAAAAATAATAAGGTTCTATGTGGGTTATGTCATAAGAATTTTGGTCTCGAATTTTCTCGAAAAAAGGAAAGGCCGATAGTCTTTTTCCTTTCTGCAATAGGCTCATTTGCTTACTGCTGCAATGGCCTGTTCCTAACTACCATTTACTAAATTTAAAACACTCTATAGTTGAGAGGGAGCAGCCTCAGTTTTACATTGAATAGGAATGTGATGTATTTGCATTGGTTCCTATAGAATTATGCAGGCTGGTTCCTATAGAATCTATGCCCTGTGGTTGATTAAATTCATATTTTATAAAATTTTTACATTATATTTAATAAAATAGTAAGCAATTTAATTTTAGTAATTCTTCTATTCTTAAATTCCTGAAGAAATGATATTTAAAAACTGCAAAATTTTCCCGAATTTCAATTTCATATCCACGATTATACTTTTCAATTAAATTTGTTTAAATAAGAATTTTTTTTTTTAAGTAATTTTACCAATTTCTTTAAATGTATTTTAACTCTTATTAACTCTAAAATAAATACTATTAAATAACAAAGTTTTCAAAGTAAACGAAACTTTATTTTTTTTTTTATTATTTATTTGTCTCTTTCGATAATTTAATTGCCTTTAAGAACACTTGTTAAATACAACAAAAAAAAACAAACACCAATACAAAATCAACTCAAATACGAATAATTCTTACTAATTAGATATACATTAGAATATATAGCTTTATTTATACTTGTGTGTATATTTAAAAAACAAAATAATGATAAAATTTAAATTTATGCAGTAATAAAATTAAAATTAGTCTGCTCCCTGACTCATTATCATCATGATCATTGTGTGATTACCATGAAAATTACTCTCAATAAAAAATAATTTTAATCTTTATTCTAATTCCTTCCCCACATTCATTTATTTATTTTACTGTCGTCCTGTTTGGTGTCTATATTCTTTTGTTTGTTCAGTTGAACACGCTCATAACCATTGTTAAAACACAGATTCCTTTTTCTTTTTTCATCGTATTTTTATAGAATAAAACAAAATACCATGAATAGCTGCCCCCATCTACCATTTTTCAATCATAATTTATTGAGTTTTTCATCACATTTTATTGTCAAAGTTAAATTTTTCATGGCTTAAAATTTCATTTCCTTACTTATTTTTTCTTTTTATTCTAAGTTAATTTTTATTAGTATTTTGGTTCTTTTGCGTATATATATACATATATATAGAGCGCGAGTTTGGCAATGTTAAGGATATTTTGAATATGTGATTGGTAAACTGAAATAATGTAGAACGGAGAAGGAAAGATGTAAAAAACCAAGAAAGAAATGAGAATGAGAAAATGAGAAAGAAAAAATGAGAATTTATTAAATTATATTAGCCGCAAAATAAAAATCCCATCACCCATCATACCACCATTTTTAATAGTTTACGGAGTATTTTTTTCTGAGCAAAGACAAAGTCGATACTCTAAAAACCAAAAAAAACATTGGATGTGGTGAGCACGTAACCGACCGCAACGTGTATTGTTTAGTTAAGTGAAAATGTTACAAAATATTATAAAAATGCCTGTTAAATACTTCGTTCCAATTTTTAAGGTGTTAGTAACCTTTTAGTTAACATACCTAGAAAAATGTAAATTTAGCTCTTAGTAGAGTTTCGCTTTGCGCTACCCGAATTCCCTGAAATGTTATTTCTCGCTAGTTATTTTCGGTAACAACCACAACTTAAATATCAAATTTCAAGAAATTCCATCGATTCGTTCCGTAGATATGGTGAAAATTGTAAAATCGGCCCTCAGATCAGTTTTGGAGTCCTGATCTTTCCAAAAAATTTATATGTTCATTGTTTTAATACGAAGAATTTAAATATTTCATTGTTGATTATTTCTCTTAATATACGCAAAAATGTATATTTGGCTCGTAGTAAACGTCCAGTTGCTGACACCTGATTTCATTCAAAAGTTAGGAGGCTTCGCGGGCGGTCGAATGAAGCTTATATATGAAATTTCAAGTAAATCCGTTGAATACTTTATTCAAAATGATTAAAAATGTAAAACAAGCCCGCTATAAAGTGCAGATCCCGAGGACTGAAACATTCCAAAAGTTTATCAACCCGGGCCATGGTCGAAATAAACTTACACAAAAAACTTCATTAAAATCAGTTCGGCCGAACTTGAGATACACGTGCACACACAGACAAACAGACCGACTGGTTGCTAAAAATAGTTTATTTACGCTCCTCTACCATGGAGAACAAGCGCAATCCCACCGAAAACTCGATATGCAAAATTTGTTGCCATCACATAACCTACTTATTGTTTACACAATACGGTTGGTAAAAAGAGCTAAGAAAATCCAGTGAAAAATTAATTTCAATCTTTTTGTAAATTTTTCTTCTCTTGCAGCAAAATAACAATTTGTTTTCATTGTAGCGCAAACAAAACAAACAAATGAGAGAAATATGAGAAGAACGGTTTAAGTATATAAGCTACGAGTAAAGAAAATATTCCATGTGTGTGTGTATCAAGTTTCGAAAGGCGGTTACACTTTAAAATAATTTTTTTTTAGGCATTTTAAAAAAATTACTAAATTTATTTAAAGGACATTTTAATGGTGAAATTTCAATTTTGAAATGTAGAAAAAAAAAACTGAACTTTTAAACTGATTTCACTTCCAAATATGTCCAAATTTTTTATATCTGCTTTTGCTTCCTTTTTCTCTTTCCGACAATATTGTTTGATGCTCGCAAATTTTGTTTTTTTGGAAAAAGAAAAAAATTTCATAATATTTTATTTTTTTTTTGTAATTTTGGAAGGATAACTAACTCAATTATTCTTACTTTATTTTTTTTTCTGCTATCTTCTCTTTCTCCGACAATATGGGCTGAAATAACAATTTTTCATATAAAAGTTGATGAGGAAAAAGAAGCCGTTTATTCTAGTATAAAATTATCGCGAATTAAAATGCTTTGTAATAAAATACTTTTTACATACACCCTTAGAAAATGTATAATAAATATATGATTAGAATACGAGTAATAAAATAAAAGCTAAGAAAAATAATACAAAATGAGGGAGTTAAAGTCCATCTATTATAAGAAGGATCATATTATTTTTATTTTGAAATCAGTTCAGTGGAACAAGTTCTTCAATTTTTATAATTGCATATTATTTGACTTAAAAATTGGACGAGATTTATTATGATATCAAGAGGATGATGTGTACATTAAATGTTATGTCCCATGCATCCAATGTTATTGACTAAATTAAGATTTTCTGAACTTCTGAAATAATTTCGTAAATTGTAAATCATTAAATTTCTTGTGCTTGACAACGACTTGTATTAATTTAAAAATTTATTGAATTTACTTAATAAAAGTTTTGTGAAGAAGCAAAGTTAAGGATGGAGTTCAAGATGATTAATTCTTCAAACAATTCAAATATTTAAATCAAAGATTATAACAAAATAAAAAAATTAAATATTTTATGACTAAATCTATAAAGATCGTATTAAATATTGATAGCTATCGAATTAGCATTACACAATATTGTAAAGCCAATGTAATTTCTAAAATTAATTTACCTCCCTAATTAGGGATTCCAAATTCAAAACTGTGGTTAAGTAAAAAGTTCGCTATTAAGTGAAACAAAATTTCGTGTGTCATGGCATATTCACTACTCTTGATTAACTGCGAAAATTCATATATTTTTACAGAATATTCTGACGATTTTTACTTTACTTTATATTTATATTTATATTTTTACAGAACACTTTGATGTGGCAATACAATTATACATACAAATGTAAATCGCATTAAAAAATAGTTACATGTAAGATAGGTGCATTTAGCCGTAGCAATGTCCGGCTAGTAAATTGATATTGTATCTATATATTTCATGTAAAACGCGTTCCAGATAGACATATATTTTTTGAATTATAGATTTTTCGGCTTATTTGCGTTCTTTGAGGCCATATTTTGCTTTTTGTAAAAAACGCTGCAGCTGTTCAAATAATGTAATTTTTAGAGCCTGTCGTATTGTACTTTTAATGACTCTTTTCGAAATTCTTATTGCTAAAAATTTTTATATCTGATATTTTTAGGTGGTTGCAGCACAATGTATGAATGTGCTGTGCGTGCTTTGAGCAACAGAAGCCCAGCAGCGCCTGCGTTGTTTAAAATAATTCAAATTTAATTGAAAATTACGTTTTCTTGGAATTGTATTTTCTATATTTTAAATTGAATTTCGTGTAATTTTATATAATCGCATAATAACAAGTGTCTTTGATGGTATGGCTCTGGATATGACTGCGCGCTATATGAGTAAATAATGTGAATTCACACATGATATTAATAAAATTTTTAGTATTGTATGTAGCATTTACAATAATAGCAAAATATAGTTGAGAAATTGAATGAAAATTAGAGATAAGATACTTAAATATATAATTGGCAAAATATTTAAGTAATAATAAAAATATCATTCCCTACACTGATAAAAACTTTTTATTCCATAAGGGCACTTAATTTTGAGTAATCTCAAATAAAATATTACAAAAACTGGCGATACTCAAAATTTAAATCTATTTCTAAATAAAATTTAATACATAACTTTGTACGTATATATGTAAAATTATAAAGTTGAAATATTTACAAAAGAGTCGTTGTCGGATTATACAAAATATATATACATATATAATCTTTTTATTCGTAAATAAATTAATTCAGAATATTAAAATAATATTAGTGGTTTAAAACTTGGTAAAAGTTTATATTAGCAATAACGCAATTAGATTAAAAAACTAAATTAATTTTAAATTAAAAAATTTCATATAAAGTTCATATAATAATAAATTATTTTGAAATTTTATTTTGTGTTAGAGTGTTTTATGATTTAAGATAAAGGATTAAAAAATTCTACAAACATTCAAATATATTATGAATATACCCTATACATACAAATACATAATATTATATATATACACATATATGTATATAAGAATATTTGAAAAAAATCATAATATGCTTAAACACATTTATAAACTAACCTTTATGAATTGAAATGTTGCAATCGGTGGCAACCTTTTACTTTTTGGATAAAAAAAACTCCCAGCTGGATGAGCAGGATATCTGGATGTTATTCTATAAATAACACCTTGCGGTTCTGTTGGCCAATTTGGTGCAGTAAACGTAAAACCATTATCAGTTCCAGCATCTAATGGATCCATTTCAACAGTAACAGTATCCAACCACGAACCACCGACACAAAGCTAAAAAAAAACACAAAAACAAAAATAAGAGACAAAGAGCTTAAAATATTAAATTCAAAAAGAAGGAAAAAAAAACAAAGATTTTTTTTTTAGAAAATTAAAAATGAAAAAGAAAATAACAAAGCGAAAAAAAAAAGAGAAAAGGATTATGAAAAGGGTCTTATCAAAAAAATAACTATAGTTTCCTAAAATTAAAATAGAATAGAAAAAAAAAGACTGGAATTAGTAACAAAAAAAAGAGGAAACTAACTGATTTAAAAAGTTTCTTTTAATATCATTGGTTTGAAAACTGTTTGCATATTTGCACATTTTGCCAGGAACTGAGAGTATTAGATCAAGAAATATGTTTGATCCATCTTAATTTATTATTTGTAGTTGCAAATGATTTATTTTTGACCACACTACTTTAGTTTTAAAACGAATTAGTCTACTCTAACTTGTTTTTTTTGGACATTAGTTCAAATACCAAACAGTTTGCGACTTGTAGTCAGAGTAAAATAAAGCGTGTGAACTGATTGGGATTTAAATTTTTTTTTGCTAATAAACACACATTTAATATTTCGAAAAAATGGCAAAAAAATTTGAAGAAATATTATTTATTTGATATTTTATCATTTTGAATTTCTTTAATGGTTTGAAATAATGAAAGCCGCTCAAATAAAACAACTTCAGACCAAGTTCAGGTTTTTAAGAAAATTCCTAAATCGAAAAATCGTGTTACCACTAAATTTTAATAAATATTCCGAATAAATGAGTTTCTTATATTTTTCTTCTTTCTTCCGAACTTCTTTCAAATTTTGAGAGAATGCTATGGCGATATCATTGGGAATCATTAGAATTTGAAATAAATTTAAGAATTCCCAAGACTTGAATGTGTGTAAAAATTCAAGAATGTGTATGCAATTAATTCTCAGATTCTACTTTTCATACCATCATTTTGATTTTATTTAAATTGACTTTGTTGAATTGATTCCTTAATGAAATATTCAAAAAAGTTTTAAATCAAGGAACAAAAATTGAACCTACATTTTCATTAGGCCCGGTTCTGACTTGTTCGGCTCCATACGGGGCTGCAAAAAGCACCCCACCTCCCCTTCTCCCGCTTTTAAAGCAATGAACAATTGCTTTTGAAAACTTGTATTGGAAAAATTGGCGCCACTATTTTCCGGCCCTCATTGCAACTATTTACTTTGCATATATGTTCATTTTGCATTATTATTCAATTACTAAGCATTAATTTCGGTGGAAAGAACCTATTCCTAACAAAATTTCAATCATTTTAAGATTTAAATTATATTTTGTATGCATTATCGCATAATATTTGAGAACCTATGTATGCAATTTGTGAATTTAGTTTTTCTACATAATTCTAAAATGTTTTTTTTTTTTGAATAAAATTTATACGTTTTTGAATAATTTAAAATCAAAATAAAAAGTGTTCAAAACAGTGTAAATGACTACTTTGTACTGTGTTCGACTATAATATTTTTTTTTAAATTTCAAAAAGCACGACAATAAAAAAGGAACTACTAAAGAGAAGAAAAATCGAAAAAGAAAAACAAAACAAGGAGGGAACAATGATGAAAAATGTGTCCTTTTTTATTTTAGTTTAGTTTTTTTTTTTTTTTTTTGCTTTTGTTTCATACTTGAATCAGTTTAATGTTAAATGTGGAATTTTTAAGACAAGTCTTCAAAAACACAAACTTTAGTTATCATAACATTTCACGCTCGTTCGTATATATACAAATTAAACGTTGTACAAATACACATACATACATACATTTATGCATGAATGTGTGTATAATGGTATTAGTTGTACATTGTTAGTGCATTGAAACAAAATAACAGTAGTTCATATTATAATTTAGTGGGACGTGAAAATGAAACTTTTTTTTAATGTTATTGTTTTTCTTTTCTAGCTTTGTTTTGCTTTAATTTTGTTTTTTTCTAATACGTAAATTTTATTTTAGTTTGTTGCTATGTGATACACAAACAATAAAACATTATCTTTTCATTTCTGTTTTAATTTTTTATAATTTTGTTTTTTTTTCTATTTTTTTTTTTCCTTTTCCTTTCCTTTATTCCTGCGGGCTCTTATTTTATTATTTGAATCATTTTATTATCATAGGATAAAGGATATGTTATATATAGAAAAAAGATTTTCTAGTTTTACATTTTATTATTTTTTCTATGTACACTTTTTTGATTTTCCTCTGTGCTGGTTTGTAAAAAATTTAATTCGATAGCGATGCCATTTTATTGTATATTTTTCGACAAAGTTTTCATTTGTGAGTTTTCATGTCTTCAAAAACATTCAAATTGAAAGAGATAGTTGTCATTAATAATTTCAGCGTTTTTGAAATCGACTTAGAATAAAATCCTTAACAGCAAATAGGAAAATTTGATTCAATTTCATTCATTCCAAAATTGTTTAATAAAAGAGATCAGAAGATGACCGTAATTCTGTACGTAGAGTTTTTCAAATTTCTGTAAAAAATTTTTTCATACTTTTCGTTTATTCAAAATTTTTACTCTAGAAATTTTTTCGAATTGCCATAATTTTAATTAAATTGAGTGTAATTCATTTTAAATATCATTAACTTTATATATGAAAAATAAATAAAAAATCTGATGTGGTCAGGACATAACTGATCTCAATGTATATTGTCTAGTCTAGTGAAATTTTTACAGAAGGTTACGATGATGCGACTCAAACACTGCCTTACAATTTTAAAGACACTTGTAAGCTTTTAGTTAACATTTTTCGAAAAATGTAATTTTAGCTCTTGGAGTGGATTTTCGTTTTGTGCCATCCGAATTCTCTGAATAGTTCGTTATTTTAGTATCGGTAACAATTAGGCCTCAAATATTAAATTTCAATAAATTTTGTTTGTACCACTAATTATGATAGGCTTAATGAGCCCAGCTTTTTGAAAAAACTTAAATTGAAGTATTTGAAAGCATATGTTGCAGTCAAGACTTTTCGTATTAGGGAACACTTATTTAAATAATTTTTTGTTTTTTTTTTATTTCCACAAAAACAGCTCAATTTACGAAGTATTTGCAACTCTTAAAAATTTTTTTAACTTATTTTCCCCAGAACAAATTTGATATATGTTTTTGTGAAGCGCTTCTGGCAACACTATTTATAAATATATTTTTATAGTAGGTAGTTAGTTTATGAAACTGGTGGATAAAACAAGAATTATGTTGGAAAAAGAACCAAAATAACATAGGTTTTTAGTTTATATGCAGTGGTAAATATACGAGACATAAAACATTATGTGATTTAGTCCATTTTTACTTTTTATGTGACATTGCATACAATGCATTGCGATTTATACATATAGACACAGATATATATATATATATATATATCCGTTTTATTATACTATATTGTAGTTGCATATGTATCTATACTTGAATGTATTAAAGGATAAAAATAACAAAGATATTATAATAAAAGGATGAGAAATTGTGAATGTTTTATTAGCGTGCTAGAAGCGGTCTATGAGTGCGTTGACCTAAATTAAACTTAATGCTTGTTTTTTTTTTGTTTTTTGGTATTTTTTTTTTTATATAAAATTTTATGTTTGCTTCTGTTTTTCCTTTTGCTTCTACATTCCTTTATTGAATATTTTTTTTTTTTTGTGAGCAAAAATTCTTTATGATCCTTTATTCTGTTGAACTTTATAATTTCTCTATTCTCTATTGAATATTATATGTGAATTTCGTGTATGTAGTAGATCTCTAAATCTTCTTCAAAGAAAGGATTCATATTTATTTAAAAAGTTAAAAAAAAAATTTAGAGACCATACAAAAAAAAAGTAATTTTTCTTTTTGTTTCTATTTTTTATGTTTTTAGTTTTTACTGCAGAAAAAGATGAGGTTTTTAGATAGAAGCGATAAAGTCTTTTACATCTTAATAAAACAATTGAGAGTTCCAGTTATCAAGTGAAACAATCTCTATTTTCTTAAGCCATTATTACTGTCTTTATTGAGCTGCTTGTTTTTCTTCTATTTTTTTTTAGTTTTCTTTGTTGGGTATGACATGTCTAATAAAATAGTGTATCTTATTTTCTTATGACATAAGTCAAAAAGATAATATCCGAGATAAGAATGAATTTAAGAAGGGAACAGGGAAAGATAATGTGATTTTTTTTTTCTTTAAACTTGAAAAAAGTTGTATTGTATGTACAGTGAGTAATTGTGTTCGAAAAAAATTACTATTATTTACTGTAAATTGGTTAAAAATTTTAGAGCATATTATAGAAGATTAAAATTTTTCAAGTTATAATTGCTATATTTTGAAGTAGTATTTTCTGAATTAATATTCCTAAATTTTGAAATTTAGCTTATTGAATCTGAATTTTGAAAAAATTTAATTTCAAATTTTATAATATGCGAATATTAGCTATATGATATATAAACAGAAATTTTGCATTAGGAAGAAATTTTTTTTACTAAACGCAATTTTTTTAATATACAATATATAGGAAACTTTCCAGTCCTTCAAAAGCAGTTTTTATTTTATTTATTTATTTATTTATTGCCAGGACGTATTAGATTGTACAGTAAAAATGTACAATCTAATACGTCAGTAAAATGTACAAATATTTTAATAGTTCATACATTTTTAGTATTTACAGCTTTGCAATTTTTGTTTCTCAAGAATATTTTTGTTTCAAAGGATTGCTAGAATTGTAACACGACTCCTGGAAGGTAGACAAAATTTTATCAATTTGCTCGAAAACAGAATGTGGTTTGGCCATTGGAGTCAAAAAATAAAAAGGTTTATTTAAAATTCATTTTAAAATTTTATTTTACTTTCTTTGAACCAACATTACATTCGTCTTTGTAGCTGAACTCCATACTGAAAGACCATACAGAAGAATGCCCTAAAAGTCCCCTTTAAATATTAATATTTTGTTTTCTATATTCAGCAAAGATTTCATATTAATAACTGGTTAAAGTATTTTTATACACAGATACAATTTGTTGACAGTACTTGCGATATGTGATTTGAAAAGTAATTTTTTATCGAGATGGATCGCCAGATAGGTGTTATAATTCCTTTCCCATTCTATATGGTTTCCATCCAAGGTAAGAGCACGGTTCGGGAGAAAACGTTGTTTTCTTCTCCTAGAGAAAAAAATAGCCTGAAAAGGAAATTCCTTATTTCTAGAAATCCATTTTCAAGATTATTTATTATTTTAGTGGGAAAAGCAGTTTAATCAATAAAATTCAAGTACTGTCCTATTGACCTTACAGAATTTTATTAAAAGTATAAGAATTCTTTTGATAAATTTGGTAATTAAATTAATATTAAGGAAATCTCTGCTTAGTTTTTCTGAAAAATAAAATTTTGATTTTATAATCTTAAAATTGGAAACAAAATTTCAGCATATTTTATACATAAGTGTGAAATTTAGGAATAATTCTCATTCTCTATTTATTTCTCTATCACAACAAGCGAAAATACAACTACAAAATTAAATTAAATTCTAAACGAAACGAATAAAAAAATTTTGATAAAAAGTCTATTAAAAAATAATTTGATTTCAGTGGAATCGTCAGCATTCTAAAATTAAAGTTTTTCTTAAAAATTTAATGCCAAATAGACAAAGAAAAAAATATTAAAAAATAATAATCAAAAATTTTTTAATTCTTAAATTTCATTAAAAATTACAAAAAATTTAAAAGCATTCTTTCAATTGAAAAAAAGAAAAAATTAAAAAATAAACTTTTCATTTAAAATCTTAATTAACTTTTCAAATAAAAAGGTTAATTATTAATAAATTTCAAAATATTCTGAAATCTACAAATAAAAGAAAAATTGTCACAGTATGAAACAAAAATAAACTTTGAATTCTTCAAAAAAATTTTTCCAAGAAAATTCTGTCTATCCTCTTGAATATTGTGAAGTTGAAAACGTTCAAATTGTTTTTGTTTTTTTTACTTATTTTAAATTTTTCAAAATAATTTTTGAATACAAAAGGAAAAAGTGAAAAATTATAAGAAATTCATAAAATTTAATTTTTTAAATAGACAAATTATTTCAACAATTTCACACCTCTAAAAATTGATTATAAAAATTTTTTATTTAAAATTTTAATTGGAAAAACAAAAATTTATTTTATTTTAAATTCATTTAATTTTCATGAAAATTAAATTTCTTGATTATGACAGCATTTGACTTTAAAAATAAAAAAGCCTGAAAAACATTTCTGCCAAATAAATTTTCTTTGCATATAAATTAATATTTTTATAAATTTTTTTCACATAAATTTAAAATTTTTCAAAAAAACACTTTGGTAACCAGTTAAGAAGACGAGCAAAAACTCATAGAAATCTAATTACTAGAGATGAAAATTTTAAACTTCTTATAGTGCCATCTATATTATAATTATTACCGTTATTATTAAAATAAAACAATATAACAACAATAATAATAATAAAGCTTTTAAAAAACACAACGCAACTTAAAAATATTCTAAAATCCCTTTAGAAAATATTTTTATGGTTATTTTCTACATTTTATACAAAAAAAAAACTAAAACGAAAATAAGAGCAAATAAAAAAATTTTTCTAATATTATTTTTACCTGGAGTGAATCAACTCCTATAAACCAATCAGGGGATGGTACAATTCGTGTCATTAACGAAACTAAACTGTGATTACCATCAACAAAAAATTTCGCTTCATTTCTTCCACCACCCGTTGTGATTGCTGGTATATCAAACTTATCAAAAATACTGTTCTCAGCATGTTTCGTTGATTTTAAATTTTTTGTCGATGATGATGATGATGATAATGATGATGAAGATGATGATAATAATGATGGCATTGCTTGGAATTGTGATGAGGACACAAAACGACTATTATTGTAATTGTTATTGTTATTATTATTATATAAATACGAAAATGATGATGATGATGATGTTGATGCAGATATATTATTTACTATCGCAATGCTTGGTGATATTGATTGATTTGATCCTATACCAGAAATATAATTATTTTCTGATAATGATGAAAATTTTGATTGTTGTTGCTGCTGCTGTTGTTGTTGTTTTTGTTGTACATCAACCCATTGTTGTTGATTTTCAAGTACATCAATTTTACCAGATTCAGCAAATTGTTTTACGCCTGGTGAAGCTCGCTGCCCAATATGAAATAAAGTAAATGATGCATCATGTGATCTGCCTGTAAAATTTTAAAAAGCAAAAAGAAAATTAAATTGAAAAATCAAAATATTTAGAATTTTTAGTATAATAATAATATATTTGTAGTAATGTTGAAATATAGTTCGTGAATCTATTTAGTTGTACCTATAAAGAGTTTCTATATTTATAGCTATATAAAGGATACTAGATGGAATGTATTTTCTGAATTTTTATATTATTTATTCTTATTATATATGAATTTATATGTATTTATTAGTAAGTATGGGTACATACATTTAGATGTGGAAAATTTGTATATACATAAGGTGGTTCGGAACTACGGTTAAAGGTTTATTGGGGACGATTCATTGCAATTCTTTGAGAAAAATACTCTTGTGGAGAGGAGAACTAGAACTTTTTGTGGTGGAAACCTTCCAAAGATAAACAAAATCAGTTTGAAAAAATTTTACCTGACAAGTATCTACTCGTATAACAACTTCCAAACTAGAGGAATGAATATTGCCCGTAACTTTTTTTCTTAGTAAGACGTGTAAGACGTATATAACTGAACAAAAACAAAAACAAAAAATTGAACATTTGAAACATTTAAACAAAAAATTTTGGTTTAGAAATTTCTAAATTTTTCAAATATCGTTAATTTTCTTAAAAAATTTCACATTTTTTTCGGTGTGCTACATTATCCTTTATAACTTGGTGCTACAGTTATGTGAAATGTTTCTCAAGTAAAATTTTGACCGTTTAGTTAAATTTTCTCACCCCTTTAAGGCGTATTTTTACAAAATATTTAAAATACAAGTTTTTGGCAATGTTTACTACGCTCTATCCGGCAAATACAGAATTACGTTTTCTATGGGATATCGAATGGACTGACAAAATTGTTTTAAACAAACTTTTCCATACTTTTTAGAGTAATTTTGTCCTTTTCAAGTTCTAATTCTTCTTAGATTTGATCACATTATTTTTGGACTAAAAATTATACATTTATATGTGTAGCTTCAGGATTAAAAATGATAAATTGAAATGTGCCATTTTCTAAAGGCTTAAAAGCCTTTAGAAAATGGCACATTTCATGGAAAGCCTCTTTTGTTTATTTTTAAATGTGAAATAAATTGCGTTGAATACAAAAAATCCTTGCATTCCTATTTTAAATAACTTTTAAAATTGAGTCCGGAAACAGCCTTCGATGCATTTTTTTTAATAAAACTTATGATTTTTTTGATCTATTTATTTTAAATTTTAAATTGTTTATTATTTGCTTGAATTGTTAAAATTTTATTTGAATTATGGTATTTGTAGAAGTATGTGCTTAACTTATTACCTTTATAACTAAACTATAAATAATAAATATAAATATAAAATCAATTAAACTTTGTGATTTATTACTAGAACAACTAAGAAGCTTTTGGCAAATTGGTAATTTTTCAACTGTTCATTTTCACAAATTCCTAAAATTTTCCTATACAAAATGTGTACTAGCAGAATTCAATCAATTTTACAAAAAAAATATCAAAATACTATGGGAAAGTGGTTATGATGAAAATTGTGGTTTTTCATGTATACCATCGACATGCGTGGGTATTTTCAATAATACCAGCTTGTGTTTTTCAAAATTATATAATTTGTATTCAAATTGGAATATTTAAAATTATAAAAAACATTTGTAAAATACAATATATTTTTTCGCTTTTTGTTTTTTTTTTAGATTTGTACAGGTTATTTATAATATTATTTAGTATTCAAGTACACAATATATAGGCATGTTGTGGTTTAATAACGACAATAATATAAATTGTGGGTATTTCATAACAATAGAAACAATTAATATTTTGCTAAATTTGTACGAATAATTAAATTTTGATCACCGTCATTAAAATAAAACCAACAATGTTATTGAATAAAACAATAACAAAAGAAAAGTTTTTGTTTATTTTTTTTCCTATTGTACTTTTAGAGATAGTAAAATAAGGATGGTCTCATAAATCGATGGCAACTTTGTAACACCAGATATTGCCTACTTATTTGTCTTGTTTATTTCAAAATGACTTGTTTGATATTTAGTTGATAAATTCTAAAAATAGAACTGTGAATTTGAAATCTAAAAACAAGAAAACTTTTACAATATTTTGTGAAAAGAAACCCGCTCAAAAAAACCTAATGGGATCCCTCAATTTTTGAAAAAACCAAAAATAAAATTTTAAGCTATCTTTAAAGTTTTATAGGTACTAAATCATTTTTAAATTCAAGATGAACCAAACTCCAAATAGAAGATACATTTAATTTTTCAGTTAATGAAAATTTTCATACATACTCAAAAATAAAAAAAAAAATAAGTAAATTTCTACATAAACTTGTAAATTGAAAATTTTTCAAAAATAAGATGAAGGCCCCACCGTGCAAATCTTTAAAAGAAAAAAAGAAACACTGATAAATATGCTCATAGAAATTATTATGATAGTTGTTTAGACATTTTGCGGGGCAAAAATGAACTAAAGGTAAGTTGTGCCTCTACTACAACCGTTAGTATAATTATAAGCCAAACAGAAAATTTTATTATTTTAAGAAAGTGAAGACTTCGATGAGAAATAGAAATAACAGAACTATTGCTATAACTAACAGATTTGTAACAGAAATATTTTAAGATTTATTTGGAATCCTTAATTTTCACCCTGTAAAATCCCATTTTAAAATGAAATAAAAATATCTCATTGATAGCAATTAAAACTAATGTTTTTTTTATCTATCACAACTTTTGGGTTTTCAAAAACAAAAATTAAAAAAAAATTCGGCTCTTTTCAGAACTTTTCAAAAAAAAATTTAGAACATAAGTGGTTATTAGTTTCACTATGCCCGTCCGTCCGTGGACATGTTTAGAATACTTCTACATCCTTTAGAATATAATTTCATGTATACATAGATCTTTACTAGAAACTTAGTTTTGTAGGAGAAAATTTTCCGCTATCTGCTCCCGCTCACTAAAAATCATAACCAGCTAAAACTCGAAAAATAGCATTTTTTTCATTTCAGAAAACCATAAGCATTTTTTAAAATTTGCAAACGCAGAAAAATAGCGACTGGTTTCTTCTGCCGCGGAATAGTAAATTTGAATTTAAAAAAAAAAACAAAATATCGCTTTTCAAGTTATAGCCCCTCAAAATTTGTAAAATTTGAATTTTTAGCATCTTATATTTCTGAAACTTCAATCTTGTCCAAATTTCTATAAATGTTATAAATTATTTTTTTTAACTTACGCAGGTAATCCTGAAATTCGAACATTATGATAACGCTTCTTTAAATATTTTTTCATCATCCTAATTGTATGCAATTTGGAAAATTTTTTTCGTATGTGAATGAAAAAGTTTTAATAAGGCAGAGCATTGCTAGATTGTTTTTAAAAGCAGTATTTTCACTTGTTAAAGGGAAAAGTGCTACTTTGCAAACCACTGGTTTAACTCAACTTTTAATTTGGTTTTTGTTGCTAAGTTTTTTTTTTCCTTTAACCATAAAAATGAAAAATATTTTACAAGTAATTATTAAAATTGAAACATTTTTCGTCTATTTTTGCTCTCCGTTTTCATTTTTATAGTGTAATTTTTATCAAATACAAAAAAAAAACAAAAGCAAATGGCGTTTAATTGATTGAATTTAAATTATAACGTGGTTAAATATAGTGGAAATTTTTAGTATTATAACGGTTATAAATCATAATGAAATTAAGCTAGTTTTTTTTGTCCTTTAAAATGAAAATCTCATTTCCAGGTGACAACGCTGAAATAAATAATATCGTTTTTTTAAATTAAATTTAAATTTTTAAATTATTTTCAGATATATATATACAGTCGAATCTGAGTGAAGGCAAATTCAATGAGATGAGGTTTGTGTTCCAGTTACAAGGACTTCTCAAGGATTTCTGTAATTTCCGTGTCAATTGTATCTGTAATTCTGGGCTTACTTTTTTAGTGATAATTTGGGAAAGACCATAATAACGCTTGTGCAAATAAAATTGTTTGAAAATTCTAAAAACTGAAGAGGAAAATCATTCCGTAAATGGAGGTTTGTCTTTTATTCAAATTATTTTTTATCAGATTCAATTGTATATACATAAATATAATAATAATAAAAAATTAGAAAAAAAGACTTTTTGAATTATGATTTGCCATTATTAAAAATTGTTGTAGATTGACTATTAATCATTTTATGAAACGGAAACTCAACAAAATGAATAAAAAAGCAATTACTTATTAAACTAAATGAAATTTTCAAATTTTCTATGGTCGAATAAACCAAATTTTTGTTAAGGATAATTTTTTGATAAATTTAGGAATTGGAAACATCTAAATCAATTAAATTTTGTGATGAAGTCGAACATGATTTAGTAATAAACCAAATATATGTCATAAAGGGTAATAAATAGATAGTCATTAAATATATATAAAATCTACGTTATATACTCGCATAGGCACAAGTATAATAAATATTTTTGTATAACTTAAAATTGGGGTGTAAGAAAATTTAAATTTAAATGAAATTTTATAAACATTTCTTAGAGTTTTTTCAATATTTATACCTTCTTATTATATGACAAGTTATGTATGCAATTGGGGTTTGAATTCATTCCATGAATACATATGTGTATGTACATTCCACTTAGCATTTATGTAAATACCTTCATGCATACATTATATATTTTCTTTTTATTTTTATTTATTTACGATATTGAATTTGAGCTCCCCTAAGTAAGCAAATAAAGAAAAAAAAAGAAAATATTTTTTATTTTCTTCGATTACGCGAGACACTTGTGCTTTAAGAAATTTAAATTTTGTTCCATTTACGTATTCGTTATATAATAAGGACATGTAAAAATAATCCTTGAAATTTTTCCTTACATTTTCTTTTTCATTTAGGTTGCCTGTTTTTAAGGATTTTTGTTTTCTAAAGTAATATGTTACGTATTATTGAAGTTTAATTTCGTAAACGTTCATGTTATTTGTTTTAATATACAAAACAATTTTTCTTATACATTTAATAAAAATAAATTTGGTATTGATTTAAGAAAATTTACTTTGATCTAAATTTAAGATATGGGGTAGGTATATACGTACAATAATTTACAAATGAATTTATGTATTTATTATAATACAATAGAGCCATAATGTGTCTAGTAACAGCTACATACAACGCATAGAGATACTGACATGAGAATTTTAATGGCAACCATTGATATTTTTATTATATTTTTCTACATAAAATATGTTTCTATTTTTTAGAAGAGCAAAAACTTATAAAAATTTAGAACTTCAACATCTTATGAGATTTTAAAGGATCAAATTACTCTGTAATATACAGGGTGATTCAGCAAAAAGTTAGGAGCAATATACAGTGGGGTAGGTGGTCGAAAATGAGTAAAATTTTATTCAGAATATGCTGTTAATTCGAAACCGCTTCGGCGAGCAACATGGATTTTAAGAAAATTTGGTAGACTTTTTATTAGCTTGTTCCCTATCTAAGAAAGATACGGGCTTCGAATAAGGCTTTTTTTTTGGAAGAGCACATTGAAGGCTTTAAGACTAGATATGATTTAATGTTTTACCCTTTTCACTTTCAAAATTAAAATTCTGAACAAATGTATTTAATTGGAGACTAAAAAAAGTAATTGAACTCTGAAGTAATTAAGACGAATGGAATCATTTGACCAATGACGGGTGGTTTCGTATTGATTACATAACAACTGTGTGCAGTATTTTGCATATAATGTCACATGTCAACTGAAAAGAGATAATGTCAAAAAAAAACTGTCACTAGTAAAATAGTATTTTAAGTTATTTAACCCCCGTCGCTTAAATTCGTGGCGGTAATTCCACTTAACTCCCGGCAGTTACATTTGAATATAATGAATGTATTCTATATGAATTAAGTTGAGAACAGAATAAGCGCGGAAAATTGCGCTTATTCTGTTCTCACCTTAAGTGAGAATTAGAAGGCCCGAGCTAGTTTTTTTGAGAATAATTGTTGACTATTTTAAATTTTTTTTTAAAAAAGTAAAATTTTAAAATAAATTTATGGATAATTATTTCAAAATTTATTGAACAAGGAATAAAAATAAGAAATTTAGGTATATGCCGTTGAAGATAAGGAACGCAGGCATAAAATGTCGCACGTCTTTTGAAAATTATGTTATTTTTCATGCTCTCTGGGCTAAAAACTCATATAGATTCTGAAATTTTGATAAAACTAAAATTTTTAATTCGAAACTACAATTTTTTGCATATTCTGATATTTCTCATTAATGTTCAAAAAAAATTTATTCGTGTATAATGCTAGAATATTTTCTCAAAGCAACAAACAAAAAGGAAAACTAAAGTTTTAGAATTTCACTCGTTCCTTATCCAATTAAATTCAGAGATCAAAAGAAATTAAAAAAAAAAACAAAAATAACAAATTAATTTCTAAAATAAAATAAATAAGAAAACAGTCAAAAAGAAAATAAAATTCTAATTTAAAAAAAAAGAAAAATTCTATTTTCCTGTTAAAATTGAAGAGGACACAAAAATATTTGAAACATGAAATTTTTCACTTTTATTTTTTATTTAAATAACTATACAAGGGGAGGACTTTTAAGTACAAATTGTTTTCTTATTTATACACTCATAGACGATATGTCAGCACATATACACATATGAATATGTATATAAGATATAAGTGTTTGCGTGCATAAATTTTAACAAGTAAACAACCATGTTGTATAACTTGGTTTTTTCTTTTACTTCTTCAATATTATTTTCATATCTCTCTTCCTATATTAATTTGACTTCTAAAATGATTTACTTACATACATGTATTTTTTGTTTTCTTCTTTATAAAAAGTAAATATTTATATAAATTGTAGAAAAATGTAGAAAATAATAAACACAAAGCATATTTACACTTAGAATATACAAATAATTGTATATATGTATGTATGTATGTTTACGGTACACAGCCGAATGAAAAGTTATGGGTCATGTAATAAATTAAATATAAGTTGATTAACCTCTCAATGTATACATAATAATATTTATGTTCATATATGTATACATTATATACATATGTATTTATATTATGTATAGATATAGTTTTTTTGAGTGTACAAACATGTATGCATAATAAATAATATTTTTCTAAATAAAAACTATATTTTCTCTTTTACAAATATAAAAATAAATATTTAATAATATTGACTTGTATATAACTGTAAAGGATTTATTTACTATTTATGCATTAAGTATATGCATATTATATGAGTCATCACTCAGAGAAATTGTGTTGTAATCAACAAATTTTGCAGTTTTCTGTTTAAATTTAAATTAGAAATTTGAATTCTAAAATTTGGAATTAAAATTTAAGGAAAAAACAAAGAAGAAAGAGAGAAAAAATATTTTTAAAACTGTTACTGTAAATTCAACTTTGGTTTATTTAACTTAATGAAAATCTTTTCATACAACTGCAGAACAGATGAATGACGTAACCAAAGGAACATGTTAAAGGCAGAAAAATTAAAAAATTTTCCTCCTCGAACTGGACACGAAACAGTGACCTGCCGCTTTCTAAGCGAATGCTCTATCAAGTGAACTACCGAAGTACGAAGAAGTTGCCGACGAAATGTTCTTCACATTACTTTATTATGCAATTGGTTCATTTATAAATTTTATTTTTTCGTAATATAAATGAATTAATTGAAATCGAATGAACTTTTATGTTTTAACAAATTCAAAATACCATTAAAATACTTCATTTACTCAAAACTTCCAATTATTCATTTTGGCTAAAAATGCTTTGAATGACTTAAATGTAAATAGGTATTGTATACACATTTTATTTTGATTAGTTTATATAGAACAAGCCTTACGTAAATATATTTAAAAAAAAGAATTTTAACTTCCATCTTATTTAATAAAATTCTATACCACAGTGTGTATGTTTCTGTGTGTATAATTGTAATATTTATAGTTCTTTATAAATTTTTCCATAATACTTACATTCCTTTCAGATTTCAAGTATCAAGAAGAAAATCATAGTAAAGAACCAAAATTTTATATAATTTTATTTAAAGAGTATTTAATATCAAAGTATACATAAAAATATCAGCGAATATGACTATACATGTGCATAGTCAGAGTGTATAGGTACTTGAATATTATTTCTAGATTTTGCATTTAATCCCAGTAATTGATCTGATATGAATTTAAAAAGCAACAGTTTTTTTTTTTTTTTATCTTACACAAAAACAAAAATATTAT